TCACATCATATAATGTCTACTTTGGGCATTGTCTTCCCCATTATCTGGTGACTCCATTTAACTTCCTTTCATTCATATATATATATATATCTTAGTGATCTTCCACAGTGCTGGGTTTCCATGTGGTTTATCTAAAGGCCTTTAGTGTTCATTGTCCCTCCCCATACTCTCCCCTTTCCCCTGCTCTTTCACCCGCATTTACTCCTAGTTTATGCCTATGTCCTCCCTTTATATCTCTATCACACTATATTCTAAGTTCCCTCCCTTAGGAGAGCCCCTCCTCACTGGTCCCTTACAAGGTACCTAACCTCTGGCTATTCAGATTGTAGTACACATAATGAAAGCTTAAAAGCTAATATCTTTATTTTGTTTAATTGATGTTGTATCCTGCCGCACTACTAAAGGTGTTTATCAGCTGTAGGAGTTCCCTGGAAGAATTTTTAGGGTCACTTATGTTTAGTATCATTTCATCGCAAATAGTGAAAGTTTGACTTCTCCTTTTCCAATCTGTATCCCCTTGAGCTCCTTTTGTTGTCTTCTTGCTCTAGCTAGAACTTTGAGTACTATGTTGAATAGATATGGAAAGAATAAACTGCTATGTCTTGTTCCTGATTTTAGTGGAATCTCTTTGAGTTTCTCTCCATTAAATTTGATAATTGGTTGTCAGCTTGCTGTTTATTGCTTTTATTATGTTTAGATACAGTCCTGTATCCCAGATCTCTCCAAGACCTTTACCATGAAGCATTTGGATTTTATTAAATGCTTTTTCAGCATCTAATGAGATGACCATATGGTTTTTTTCTTTCAGTTTATTTATATAGTGGATTTCATTAATAGATTTTCATGTGTTAAACCACCCCTGCATCTCTACAATGAAACCAACTTGATCATGGTGGATGATTTTTTAATGTGTTCTTGGATAATTTTATTTTTCTTAATGGTTGAATAATATTCCATTGTGTAAATGTAAGCACATTTTTATTATCCATTCATCAACTGATGGACATCTAGGCTGTTTCCAATTTCTGGCTATTATGAATAGAGCAGCAATGAACATGGATAAGCAAATGTCTCTGCATTGACATAGTCCTTTGGATATTTGCCCAAGAGCAGTACATCTGAATTTTGTGTTAGATTTATTTTCAGCTATTCGAGGAACTTACATGCAGATTTCCAAGGACTGTACCCAGTTTTCACTCCTAGTAGCAGTGAGCAAGTGCTCCCCTTTCCCCACATTCTTGCCAGTATGTGCCAACATTTGTTTTTATTGATCTTGGCCATTTTGGTTAGTGTAAAATGAAATCTCAAAATAGTTTTAATTTTCATTGTTCTGGTGACTAAGAATGTTAAAAATTTTTAAGTGTTGGCCATTTGTGTTTCATCTTTTGAGAACTGAGAATTCTATGTAGCACTGTTACCCATTTTTTTAATTGTATTGTTTACCTGATGTTCAGGTTTTGTTTTTAGGTTTTAGTTTTTGAGTTTTGATTTTTTTTTTGTTCTTTTAGTTCTTTGTATATTCTAGAAACACACCCTCTATCCGATGTATAGCTTTTTTCCCAATTCTGTAGGCTTGTGCTTTGCTTGAATGGTTGTGTCCTTTGCTATACAGAAATTTTTAGCTCCATGAGGCCCCATTTACTAATATTGGTCTTTGTGACTGTGCTTTTGAGATCAGAAAGACATCCCCTGTGCCCATGTAGATCAAGTGAATTCCCTGCTCTTTTTTCTTTAAGGTTCAGGGAATTTGGTCTTATGTCAAGATCCTTGATCTATTTGGAGCTGAGTTTTTGTTCAGGAAGATAAATAGGGATCTGTTAGTATTCTTCTACATGCACACATTCAGTTTGACCAGCACTATTTATTGAAGATGCTATCTTTTCTTCAGTGTGTATTTTGGCTTCTTTTTAAAAACTCAAGTATCTGTAGCTATGTAGTTATGCTTGTATCTCAAGTTCTGTTCCATTGATCATGTTTTTATGCAATACTGATTTCTTACTATAACTCTGTAGTGCAGGGTGAAATCTTGGATGGTGACACCTCCAGCAGTTCTTTTACTATTCAGGATTGCTTTAGCTAGTCTTCTTCAATTTCTTTCTTTTACTAATTCTTAAAGCTTTTATTATAAAAGCTTTTCTTTATATTGATTTTTATTAAGCTATATATTTTTTCTCTGCTCTCCTCTTTTCCTCTTCCCTCCCCTTCAACCCTCTCCCGAGGTCCCCATGTTCCCAATTTACTCAGGAGATCTTGTTTTTTTTTCTACTTCCATGCAGATTAGATCCATGTATGTCTCTCTTAGGGTCCTCACTATTGTCTAGATTCTCTGAGATTTTGATTTGTAGGATGGTTTTCTTTGTTTTATGTTTTAAAACCACTTATGAGTGAGTGCATGTGATAATTGCCTTTCTGGGTCTGGGTTACCTCACTCAGTATAATGTTTTCCAGTTCCATCCATTTGCCTGAACATTTCAAGATGTCATTATTTTGTCTGCTATGTAGTACTCTGTTGTGTAAATGTATCACATTTTCCTTATGCATTATTTGGTCAAGGAGCATTTAGGCTGTGTCCAGGTTCTGGCTATGACAAACAATGCTGCTATGAACATAGTTGAACACATGTCCTTGTGATACAATTGAGCATCCTTTGGGTATATACCCAAAAGTAGTATTGCTGGGTCTTGAGGAAGGGTGTTTCCTAATTTCCTGAGAAATTACCATACTGATATTCAAAGCAACTGTACCAGCTTGCACTCCCACAAGCAAGGCAAGTGTGTTCCCTTTGCCCCACAACCTCTCCAGCATAAGTTGTCATCAGTGTTTTTGATCTTGGCCATTCTTACAGGTGTAAGATGGAATCTCAGAGTTGTTTTGATTTGCATTTCTCTGATGGCTAAGGATGCTAAACATTTCCTTAATTGTCTTTCAGCCGTTTTAGATTCCTCTGTTGAGAGTTCTCTGTTTAGGTCTGTACCCTTGTTTTTTTTTTATTGGATTATTTGTTCTTTTGATGCCCAATTTCTTGAGTTCTTTGTATATTTTGGAGATCAGACCTCTGTCTGATATGGGGTTGGTGAAGATCTTTTCCCATTCTACTGCTGTTTTGTCTCTTGACCATGTCCTTTGCTTTACAAAAGCTATAAAATCTTTTCTTAAAGCTTTTATTAGACAAGTTTGTCACACCCTTGGTTAGAGTTATTCAAAGATTTTTGTTTTGTTTTGCTTTGTTTTAGTTTTTTTTTTCTCAAGACAGGGTTTCTCTATGTAACAGTTCTAACTGTTCTGGAACTCACTCTGCAGATCAGGCTGGCATCAAACTCACAGAGATTCCCCCTGCTTCTGCCTCCAGAGTGCTGGAATTAAAGGCTTTTGCCACCATGCCTGGCCCCAAGATATTTTTGAAACTATAGTAAAAGTTACTGTTTTCATGGTTTGTTTGTCTGTTTGTCAGTTGTAGATAAGAAGGTTGCTGATTTCATGTGTTGGTTTCATATACTTTGCTAAAAAGTATTTATCAATTACAGAAATTTCCTGTGAGAGTCTTAAATATAAAACCATATCATCTGCAAGTGGGAATATTTTTCTCCTTCCTTTTTTATTTGTATCCTCTTTGTCTTTTTCAGATGTCTTTTTGGTCTAGCTAAGACTTCAAGTACATATTGAATAGGTATGGAGAGAATGGGGTACCCTTATCTCAATTTAGGTTGATGTTGGCTGTAGACTTGCTGTGTACTGCCTTTGTTATATTGAGATTTATTACTTGTATCCCTACTCTCTCTCCAAGACTTTCATTATAAACGAGTATTGGACTTTTGTCAAAGGCCTTTTCTGCATCTGATTAGATGAGATAATTTTATCTTTCAGTTTGTGTATGTGGTGGATTACATTTATCGATTTATGTATGTTGGATCATCCCTGCAACTCTGGGATGAAGCCTACTTGATCATGGTGGAAAAATCTTTTGGATATGTTCCTGGATTCTGTTTACAAGTATTTTACTGAGAAATCCTGCATGTGTGCTCATAAGGCATATAGCAGTCTGTTTTTTGAGACAAGTTCTCACCGATCCTAGAGGTCATTGATTTGGCTTGGCTGGTCAATGATCTGTCCGACTCTGCTTCTTCAGTAGTGATGTTACAAGTATTTGCCACCATTTGCCAGCCTTTATGTGGGTGTTGGGGATCCAAGCTCAGGTTCTCATGCATCCATAGCAAGCACATCACTGAGCCAGTTCTACAACCGAGTTCCTACTTTCTGACCCCTTAAAATGCTAGCTGTTTTTTAAAGTAAACATATCAAACACAATTGACTTGCTTGTGTGTTTAGAAAATGATAGTTGGAAAGAATGTGTTCTTTAAATTGTCTCTTGGGAGCCTGCTCTTTTCTGAATGAAAATACCAGAGGAGTAGATCTAGGAACAAAGAAAGGTAGGGGGATGCTAGGGGAAAGGTAAGGAGGGGAATCTGTGCTCCGGATGGATCGTATAAGAGAAGACTATTTCCAATAAAAACTAAAATAAAAAAAGTCAATAAAAAAGTTGAACTTGTAATTTAAGAAAGTCCACATAGTTAGCCGTTAACTAAAAATTTAAAAATTCTCTGAGGAAATAAAATAGGAAATTTCTGAAGTCTGTTTGAATAAATTATAAAGACTAAAATCATGCATAAAATTATTTCATGAAAGCCAAAGGAAAAAAGCATGATCTGCTGTTTAAACCCACAGCTATCTAGGGCATATTTCTCTCGCTACCAGCCTATGTTTTGAGCAAGTGACATATTCAATGAATAAAGTAAGAGATTCTGATGTCTCTTGAAAAACAAAAGCATCAAACAGACAGCCTATCAGCGATGTGTATGGAATTGTATTCACAACCTTTCCTAAATGTGTCCGCATAATGTATGCAGCCGTGTATCCTACAATATCTACAGAGTAGAAAGTGTCAACAATCTTTATTGGAAGTACCCTAAATAATACCATTTTTTTCTCCTATCCTTAAACAGGGAAGGCCATGGTAAAATCTCAGTATTTGCTGTCAAAATGGCTTTGGCCACATTGTGTGGCGGGAAGATCATGGACAAGTTAAGATGTAAGTTACCCCACCCCCACCTCGTCTCTCTTGTGTACCTACATCCTCTCTCTTAGTCTTGCCACATCCCCTGTCTATCTCTGCCTTCCCTTGTTCTGTGGAGCTGTCTCAAATGCAGCCTTCTTTGGCCTTTACATTTTAAAGTAAAAATATTTTCACATTAGGTAAATCTTAATGAAATGAATATTCCCCTCTACTTTTGAATTATCATTATTTTTAACTGCCCGAGTATCTCCAACTAGAATCTTTCTGATACTAAAGTATTCAATTTTCACTAATTTAAAATCATATTGGTATTGTAATTTCACCCTGTCTCTTACCCTAAATATTGTGAGTTTGGTGTGCCGTGCTGTGTTAGAAAGAACATGACCACTGGTGTTGATAACCCAGGTGTGAGTCCAGCCATACCATTTGTTTGCTAAGTTACACTATGATGCGGTTTCACGTCTATAGTTCTTAGTTTTCTTCCACATCTTAATGGGGATGGTTAGTAAACCTGGAGGGTGCCTCCAGCTCTGTCGACCATGGAGTCCCTCCCTGCCTCCCTTTCTGCTTGTTGGATTCTGAGAAGTCGAAAGAAAGTGGGTGAAGAAAAGAGGGACAGCCCTTTGCTCCTCGGGAATCTAGCAGACACACTGTCTGAATGTTTTCCCACTGGCTAACCAAGCTAGCGCGGGAAGACTGAGGTGGCATCAGCTTCCTTCACACCCATGATTTCTTACATGGCGCAGCCAGTGCAGCCAGAATTTAGAGGCACCCACCCAGTACCTGGGGCCAGTTTGTTTCTCTTTGGTTGGCCGAGGAAATAAAGAAATTGAAAACTATCTTCTTCATTGTTTGGCTGGGAGACAATGAATGAGAAGTTCCAGGAACCAGTGACATTCTCCTCATCTTCTAAGTGGCTTCAGAATTATCTAGGAGGCATTTCCTTCAAGACTGAGCTAAGAAAAGAAAGTTTTAAAAAATGAACGAATGAGAGGGGAACCCAGAGCTGCTGCCTTCACATCAATCGGCCATCTATGCCGAGGGCGGTAGAGAAAGGTCTCAAAAAGTAAAATCCTCAAAAGCATCTTCAATGCTGTTTCCATAGACACATAATGAAAGAGGCCTATATTAGAATAAGTGTGAAACTGGTGAAAGACACTTTTCTAAACATACAGAGCCTCTGAGCCTTCCCTGAAGCCTTGTCCTTGTCCTGGAGTACCAGGTGCTTCTGCTCAGCTCTCCTGGGTCAGAGTTGCCCTCTACTGGGGGCAGCCATCTCAGCAATCTCCTGCCACTCTCTGACCTGTGCGGCCATCTTGCCCATCTCAGAGCAGTCACTAAAGCTATTGTTGAGAAAAGGAAACTCTGACAGACTCACTCATCTTCAGACCCTGAGCTGGGAGGAGCCACTCGAACTTTAAGGCAGGATCAGATTTGAAAGGAAAGTGGTCAGAGGTGATTGCACATAGGCCTGAAAACCTAAATTAAATCCCAGGATTGCACAAAGTGGATGAGGAGAACCAGTTCCCAGGATGTATCCTCATCTCTACACACATGCGAGACATATACGCATGCATGCATACATGAACGCACACACACAGTAAAAATGTCAAAATATACATCAAATGCATGGTTGCTAGGCAAGCAACTCACAGCTTGAGTACAGTTAACAGAAAAATGAAGGAAATTTAATTAAATGCTAAAAATGCAGTAGAGGGAATGCTAACTCCATTTTACAACTACTTGGGGCCAACTAACCAATATGCCTGGTGTTCACCATGTTACTGGCGCTGTTGGCATGGCCTATGGAAAGAAGGGTACTTTCTGTGGGAATATGGCAGAGCACCATAAAATAAAATGACCTCCTTTTCTGTTTAATTGTTCTCATCTTTTAATTACTTGCTTTTATGGAATGGAATACTTGTCTCTTCCTGTTGATTGCTTTTTCTTAAGTGTGTCCATGTGTGTCTGCATACAAGCATGTGTATGCATAAATGCATACTCACATCTATGTACAAGTATGATTTGGTGCATGTATGATAGTAGACAACCTTAGATGTCATGTGGAGGAACTTCGTCCCTCTCCTTTGAGACAGGGCCCGGAGCTCACCGATTAAACTAGACTGGCTGGCAAGTGGGTTGCAAGGGTCCTCCTATGTCTGCCTTCCTGGCACTGAAATCGCAAGCATCCACCCCCACACACAGCATTTCCAGGTGAAATTAAGGTCTCATGCATGCAAGATGAACACTGTACCAACCCAGCCAACTATTCCACCCCAACAATCCAGGTCTTAAGGAATTCCAAGTCCAATGCCATAAGCCTGGGATGTCTTACTTTGTCTATAATGTCTGGGTACTGACTTTCTTTAGTTCAGAAGACCCACACTACCTTGTGTTTGCTCTAAATGGGTTCCTCTGCCTCTGCAAATACCTCTAGGGTTGCGCCTCTAACTCACTGGCTTGCTTTTAACCCCTCGTCATCCACCTTGATACCTTCCAGACACAATTTGAATTCCATAGTAGAAGCTTTAAGGCATTTTATATCTGGGGTCACCATCCATAGTACCCTAGTACCTGTACCCCATCCCAGGCCACTGGAAGCTCCTTGAGAACATTGTGCTTGCACTCCGTTTTGTCTGATCCTGATTCCTTGAGCCGAGTTCCCCCTCCTCTGTGATAACCACTCAGTGGCCTTTACGCTTTACCTCTGCATCGCATCCACCCTGTTTTTCCAGCATCACACCATGGTGTTACCATCTGTGATGGTCTTTGAGGCATCCTTCAAGCTTTTCTCAATCCACCAAGCCTTCCAGAAGGCAAGAACTGCATCTGGTTTCCCATACGCCCATTTATTCGCCACAATGCTACCCATTTAGTCTTTTAGAGACACAGGGTAACCCTGTTAGAACCAGCACATCTTGGCCAAGGCAAGATGGCAGTCTCCATATAAAAGCCAGTCTGATTATCCCAAGTTTTCATTTCTCCCGGTCCATTGGAATGTTTCAACATCTACATATAGAATTAATCAACATATTTTTCTGCTGGCAGATTCATTTTGATTTATTTATTCTTGGACAGTTTGACTAGAGCCTGAGATGAAGCCCTGTAAGCAAACAACATAGCAGAGATATGAAGACAACACTTTGGTTGAAATTGAATTTTTTAATTAACATAAAATTAATTACTAATAATATATTTTGCATGAAAATACACTGTGATTGTAGCTGAATGAGCCAATGAATGAAAATTCATGTTATGGTACTGTAGGAGACACAAAGGAGGTTATAATATGATCTGGAGTCACAAGGAAAATTCACACGGAAGATTTTATATGAATGAATGATGTCCACAACAGAAAAAAAATACTGAATGAAAATATCTAAAATATATACAGTGTGTCCCACATGTGAAGTGTTATTCTGAATGCTTTACATCTTTTAACTGATTAAACCCTTGAAATAGTCCTTTTTATTATATATACCAACTCATGGAGCCCAAAACTAAGATGCCACTGTGTATTGTTTTTACATCAACTTTAGAATTCCTTCATTTCTTTCTGAAGACCTGAGTAAGCCACTTCCAGATAATCTCCTGGGGTCCACACTTACTTGGGCTCTTAGATGACCTTCCTTGACACACACAAAAAAGTTCATTTTAGTGTAGAGTGTGTGTAAGGTACTATGGGTATTCCTGCTTTTGCTCTAGCTAAAGATTAAATGCATTACCTTTAACTGTGCCCAAATACTTTACAATGTGCCCAGACACTTATGGGGGGATGATTTACTTGGGCTTACAGTTCAGGAAAAGCAGTCTACGCCACTGAGGAAGGCATGGTGGCAGGGCAGGCTTCTGTCCATAGCCGTGAGAGTGCGAGGTGCCGTGTTCATATTGTGGCAGATCAGGAGGCATGGGGAGCCAGCAGTGGAACCTGACAGGGGCTATCCCTTAGGCTGTGCCTGCAGACCATGCCTCCCACCCCAGAACTAACAGCTGCATGTCACTATTCCAAAATGAGAAAGAGGGGAGGGGTTGGTTCACATTCAAACCAGAACAGAAAGGTTGCCTGAATTCTTTCACTTAGTGATTTGGAAAGCCCAGACAGCATGTCAAAAGAAACCCTGGCTTGGAAAATCAGAGTCTCGCGGAGACACAGGGTGACCCTGTTAGAACCAGGCCATCTTCCCCAAGGCAAGCAAGATGACAGTCCCCATGGAAAGCCAGTCTGATTTTCCCAAGTTTTCTTTTCTCCCAGTCCATTGGAATGTTTCAACATCTACATATAGAATTAATCAACATATTTTTCTGCTGGCAGATTCGTTTTGATTTATTTATTCTTGGACAGTTTGACTAGCGCCTGAGATAAAGCCCTGTAAGCAAACAACATTGCAGAGATATGAAGACAACGCTTTGGTTGGAATTGAATTTTTTAATTAACATAAAATTAATTACTTATAATATATTTTGCATGCAAATACACTGTGAAGTGGTTAAATCCATCTGATTAGCATATGCACCATTTTATACGGTATTTTGGGATGAGAACACATGTATTCATCAGCTAGACTACACATATTTCTTTACCTTGCCACCCTTCTGTGAAGGCTCTCTCTAAAACTTGCTCCTTCGCCATAGCTATATATTCTTTGACAACATGTTCTAAACCCTGCCTGCCTTTTGAACACTCCAGGCTCCAGTAATAACCATTCTGCACTCTACTTCTGAAATCAGCATGTTTGTATCCCATACGAGTCTGAACATGTAATATCTGTTTCTGTGTGTGGCTTATTTCACCTAACAGATTGTTCTCTGAGCCTGTCAGTGTTCTTGCAGATGGTAAGATTTCCTCCGCCTATGGCTGAGCAACACTCCACGGGGGGTGTGCCACTCTTGCATTTATGAGTTTGTAGACACTTAGGTTGATTGCACATCTCCATGTAGGGGTGTTGTCATAAGCATGGAAGCATAAGACATTTCATCAACAAACTAGTTTTACTTACACATAGGCTTAGACGCAGGCCCAGGAATAGAATTGCTGGATCATGTCGTGATTCTACTGTTTCCAACTGTGTTATTCGCCTCCATAATGGCTGATGTTTTATTTCCACAGTGCTTTGCAACTATTCCCTTTTCTCCAGGCTCTCTCCCACACCTGTTTCCGTTTGCACTGTCGTTTTTGTTTTCCTCTTCCCTAGATATGGTACCTGGCCATGGCTTTCATTTGCCTTTGCTAGGTGATCATTGACACTGAGCATTATATAAACTCTAACCAGTTTGTATGCCTTCCTTCAGGAAATATCTCCTTGGCTCCTCTGCCCATTTTCGGTCAGATTTTTTTTTTCTTACTGTTGAGTTGTTTGTGTTCCTTGCACATTTTGAATATTAACCTCAGAATATCTACAATATCACCATTGATATCAATTGTAAGATGTCATTTTCATCAGGAAGATCTCAAATGAGGAAAGATGACTTGCATCCTAAAGCCATAACCCAGTAAAAGCTTGTAATGTGTGACACAGAATTACAGTGTAAATGTGCTAGCCTCAGCTTGCAATAGCCTCGGCTACATTCTGACCTTGAAAAACTTAAAACTCAAAGTGAACTGAGATAACACATTGAACTTACTGTATTTTGTTGAAACAGCTGTACTGGCTGAGTGATGTCCAATTAGCATTAGATAAACTGATGACAACCCCTTCCATTCTGATAATTCCCAGGGGAGATTAGGAAGCACGGTGGGAATTGAGCTGTTAGTGTTCATTAAGCTCATATCACGGCAGAATGGAGCTCACAGCTCAGTGAAGCCAGAGGCACTCTTGGGAATAGTCTGAAACCCTGACTTTACCTCAGAGATCAGCTGTAAGACCAGGCTCTCTCCACCACACAAGGACCCTTCCCGTGAGTCACATGCCCTCCACCCTGTGGGCAGTGTGGCCTGCCAAGGTTTTCTACCTCTTTGAGAACTTACTCAAGTGTTGGCTTTTTTTTTTCTTTTCGTCCTTCTCTTTATTGTACTCTTTATTTTTCAAAAACACTAAATCAAACCCTAAAATTTTGATAATGGTACAAATGAATAGATAATTGCCAATCAGATAAGTGACGCACATACCTCCCCACTTCTATAGGGATAAGTCCATTCTGTTTCCTAAGAGGTTGGCAATTTTGTCTTGCTTTTCTGGTGCCACGATAAAATGTCTTGACTGAAACAACTTAAGCGGGAAAGGGATTTATTTTGGTTCACGGTTCCTGAGAGATCCAGATGTTACGGTAGAAAACAGGCGGTAGTAGGAGCAAGGGGCTAGCCTGTTCCAGCGTCAGCAGTCCAGTAGCAGAGAAAGAACAGGAAGTGGGGACAGAAAACTGAACCTCAAAGCCTGCCCCCTCCAGCCTGACCCCACTCCCTGAGTGTTCCACTGCCGTCCCAAACAGCACCACCCCATGGCAGACAGGGGCCAGGTATTCCAACGCATGAGCCTATAAGCAACATTTCATGTTCACACCACAGCAGCATGTATCACTTACACAAAATTTATCTTAGCAACATTTTCTGTGAGTTGAATATCGATCTCAGGACAAAATCAGGTCCCCTGCCTTATCAAAATATGTTAATATTACCCAAATTACAACTCAACTTCAAAAAGACACCAGACATATAGCAAGACCCTGTCTTGAAACAACACAAGAAGAAGAAAACACTGGCTGTCATGCTGAGACCATTTCAGCAGAAAAATCAAGTTTCATATTATGTTTTTATAAATAATACACTTATCTTGCATTATTTGTATGAGAGATGTTGACCTGACGCTCCAGATGTTTATGTGGTAAACACCTTCATTCTTTCTTCCCATCCAGATATTTTCTCAATGATTTCTGACTCCAGTGGGGTGATGGTTTATGGAAGATACGACCAGTTCCTTCGGGAAGTTCTCAAACTTCCCACAGCTGTTTTTGAAGGTCCTTCATTTGGCTATACAGAACAGTCAGCCAGATCCTGTTTCTCCCAACAGGTAACATTCTTAACCCTTCCTAACACTGTTATTTCCTTTCTGTATGTAACTTCCATGCTCGGATGCCCAATTGCCTCCTCCTGAAAGCAGCCTGGGGTATATTTTTCAAACCTTTGACAAATGGTCTGTGATTCAGCAACTAACATATATATAGATAGATATAGATATAGATATAGATATAGATATAGATATAGATATAGATATAGATATAGATATAGATATAGATATAGATATAGATATAGATAGATAGATACCATATGTGTGTGTGTAAATATATATATATGCATGTTATTATATATGTGTATTATATATATGATGCATATACTTATACCTGAATAGTAATAATTACTAGTGCCCACTGGCCAAAAGGCAAACATCATGCTAACTATGTCTACTGTCTAATTTAATCTTTCAACTGACCCTGTTGCTAGGGAAGGCACTTAGTTTACAGCCTCTCCAGTCTATAGCTCTATGGAAAGACCGTATGTTCATTCCCCAATACCATACTGTGGTAGTTTCTAAATTCACACTCATAATATTGTTTACAGTTGTACAGTATAAACTAGCAAGGCATGCTTTCTCGAGCAGTCTATTTAACTACAATATAAAACAGAGTTTAAAAAGGAAAGAAGTGTGCACGGCAGCTGCTGGAAACCACACTGCTCACCCAGCTAGTGACATCATCCGTCTACATTTATTCGGTCGTCTGCAAAGTTGAAACTCCATCAAGTGTCACTCTCGTCATGCATCTGTAGAAATATAACTAACCTCCTGATGCGTGCTGGCATGCATGGCAGGCTGCAGTAGACCCTAACCCTGTACCTTGAAGACAGGCATAGCAGGCTGCACTAGACGCTGACCTGCTCCGTGAAGACGCGCATGGCAGGCTGCACTAGACGCTGACCTGCTCCGTGAAGACGCGCATGGCAGGCTGCACTAGACGCTGACCTGCCCCTGTGCCATCCAGACTCGGGAAGTCCATGAAATTTTCAGAACCCCAAGCCCTGATTCAGGCCTTAGGTGCTCGTGTACATTCCTCCACCTCTGCCCTGAGTCAGTGCATGCTCCTCTCGGTGACTGCATTTTGGACGTGGTATTTTTTCTAGCTCCATTCTGGTGACCATTGTCCATTGTTTCTCCATTCCTCTTCCTCCTCGTTCTTCTCTTCCTCCCACTCCAAGTCTCTAGAAAATTACTGTTTACTCTGAGATGAGCATTTTAGCTTCTACATGAGTGAAAACAGTGTTTGTCTTTCTCTAACTGACCTTCAGACATAAAAAGACTGTATGTTCAAAAACTGTTAAATAAGATGTTCTCGTGCTAAAAATTGCTTCCAAAAAATCCTAAAGATTGTTCCATGACAGCATTATTTATTTGTTTGTTTATTTATTTATTCTTAATGATGAGAAATTTATACTCATCTAAATTATAGTAATATCTTAAAACTTGCTGGATCAATTGCACTTTAGTCAGTATGATTGAGTAACCAAAGTGGATAAGATCATCTGAAAAATTTAGAGAGTGACACATGGAAAAACAAATCTACTTTATTTTTAATTTAATGTTTTTATAGCCACAATTCAAAAGGCTGAAATTCAGGGGCAGGGAGAAGGTGCACTGGAGAGACGGCTCAGGAGTTAAGAGCACTGACTACTCTTGCAGGAGACCTGCATTCAAATCCCAGCACAATTCCCAACACCCACATAAAGGCTCTCAACTGCCTGTAGCTGCAGACTCAGGGGATCTGATTTCCCCTGCTAGCCTTCATGGGCACCAGGCACTCGTGTGTACGCACATGAACATACATGTAGTCAAAGCACCCATACACACATACACTAAATAAGTGACTGGAATTCCAAATGTTTTTTAAATATTTTTCTAGGGAAAAGTCCATACAACACAGAGTAATAGCTTTGAAAAAAATTTTACTTTTAGGCATATAAATTCTGATATCTTTTAAAACTACCAACTCCTTATTGAAACTTCGTAAAATATAAATCTTAACAAAAATATACATACCCAATAGAAAGCTTAAACTAGCTAATGTTATGAAGAAAAACTAAAACTGTAAATTCCTGTAGTAAGAGATAAGTCAAGGGATCCAGTGTTGTGGGATATTTTGATCACACTCTTAAAACCCCTGAGACTGCCCAGTAAAATTATACCTTGAATCAGGGGGTGGAGCCAGTGACTAGCTGACCAGAATTGACCATAGAGAAGTTAGCAGTCTAATCAGAGAAAATGTATAGGATGGAAAGGAGGGGACGAGAATTAGGGCTTCCTTTTGGTTCTGGGATGAGGGAAGGGGTTCGTCTAGTTGCTTCTAAGTCTTATAGATAAATAGAACGATAGACTTAATTTAAACCTACATATATCAGCTATGGCAGAGCCGGAGCCTTGGGACCAGAGACCCTGTCATGCCTCAGCCTGAGAGGCTGGTGGGATGCTGACTGAGGGACCATGAGTCCATAGACGATAATTAAAATATCAGTAGATTCATGTGCAGTGACTGAGCCAAGAAAAAATTATCAATCTTGAATCAGTTATTTGTAAAACACAGGTTTAGTCCAAGATACGGGCCTTGAAAACAATATACCTCTTTGTGATTCATTATTGAAACTATTATGGGCCTATCCACCTATATATCTTGGTTCGAAGTTTCAAATAAAATAATTTTAGAATTTGACAACATGATTTCTGCTATTTCCGAATTCCAGAAGAGCAGAGATGTGAATACATCAACAACTAAATATTCAGTGTGTAGGCAATTGAGGGAACCCTGAAGGGAAATCATTCCCGTACAGCCTAGTGTCATGAGGCTCTTCTGAGTTAGCGTCTGTGCAGACCTCAGCCCATTTTCACACTGTCCCTTATCTCTGAGAGGGAGGCTCAGACTCTTATGGTTGTCTCCTGACTCAGGCTGGGTGCAGATGATCTGGTCTCATGCACATTTGGACACAGAAGCAGTGGATGTCCTCAGTTCTAAACAAGTGCAACATCAGCCTTGGCAAGTTCTGTTTAAGGAGCTAACTGGATGCTTTGCTTCTTTGTCAAATGACATGTGGCCAGTATAAGAATTCGAGTTATTCTCTGACCTACACTTGTGCTATTTTTCTTCTTCTGATGCAGAAAAAGGTCACCTTAAATGGCTTCTTGGACACGCTCATGTCAGATCCTCCTCCACAGTGCCTGGTCTGGCTGCCTCTTCTGCACCGACTGGCAAACGTAGAAAATGGTGAGTAGTTACTGATGAGCCAAAACAGTAGTAACTTGGTCAACTTAGAATGCCAAGTCTATGGTCATGAAGTCCACAGTAGTAAATTGGTAACTTAGATTACCAAGTCTGTAGTCATGAAGTCCATGACAGTTTTAGGGAAATTTGTTTAGTGGATCATTTAACCAACCTACGTCCTGACCCATCAAACCTTAAATGCTACAAAATTAGGAGGATAATGCAAAAAAGATTAAAAACAAACAAGCAGAAACAAACAAACAAACAAAAAAACAACTCAATTGTATTCTAACCTCAGTTAAGAACTATCTGTGTTCAGTAGAAAGATCCCAATAAAGGACATTTTCAGGGAACTGGAGAGATGGCTCAGTAGTTAAGACCACTGGCTTCTCTTTCAGAGGACATGGATTCAATCCCCAGCATCCACATAGCAACTGTCAGTAAGCTCAGTTCCAAGGAGACCTGACACCCTCACTCAGACATACATGCAGTCAAAATACCGATGCACATAAGGTAAAAATTTTAAAAAAATAAAGAAAATAAAGCATTCTTAAAATTTTAAATATTTTCTAGGATTTGTTTTAGAGGTGAATTTCCCATGTTGATATCTATGACACCAACCATTTTTTTCCAAAGCAATCAGCCAGGGATAGGTGAAAGAAATGGCAAGAAAATAAATGAAAGCAATAAATGATAGCAACTTGCTCACCTTACAGCATGTGCTCAAGGTTACACATGTCTACTAAGCAGATTTACGTTAAAGACAAAAGGGATGCCTATCTTTACTGCTTATTACTTTTCCAAGATAGCTCAGCTTCTAATCCAAGAGCTGTTTACCATTGACATACCAAGATTTAAATATAAAATACAACCTTGGACAGGTTTAAGGAAATTTACACATGGATCAGACTAAAGCCTCTAATTAATGTTTATAGTTTTACTGTCAAACTGAAAATTTCTCCAATTTGAATAGAAAATAATCTACTCCATGTCTATACATTGTTTTAATAATCAGTAGGGATTAAAGTTGACTTTGTTTTAAATTCTCATTTGAAATATTTAACACCTGACTCTGCATCTCTCAGGGTTATACGTTTATCTATTTTGCTTTTGTACAAAACTTAAAGAGTGAATTCATTAGTTCCTTTGCAATTACTAAGAATCGCACAGATGCAAGAGCCAAGAGCCATTGAGTACCTACTGTGGCCTGGGATGGGTTCAAAGCTCTGGTCAGCAGAAGGCATCACGGACCAGTCCTGATTCTATGATTTCAGTTCTGACTTCTCTGTGCTTCCTGTCGCAGGAGATCTGCTTTTTAGGGCCTGTCCAGAGCAGTTCCCCAGACTTAACTCAGGCCTTAGATTTCCTGGGTGCCAGGACAGGGGCTCGGAATGTCCCTTAGATAGCAGAACACCCAGAAGGCATCATGTTCTTCTCCCATGTTTTACCTGGTATCATCACCTCTGCCCATCTGTAATACTTTTCTTGCCCAGCCAATCAGATAACTTTAAAAACAAACAAACGATTCTTGTTATTGCTGCTGCTGTTTCAGTATCTTTAGCTTGTGGCATGAAGACAATTTCGATTTGATTATATATTAGCTTCAAATCTCAAAGATTTGACCTGACCAGCTTGGCAGTTCACATTTCCTGGCAAAACAAGTGAGATGTCTCTCAAACATTCTAAGTCAGAACCGGGTTCCAATAATTTGCTCATCTTTTGGAGACGTAGCCTTCTGTCCCGGAAAAGTGCATATGTGTTAGATAAAAGCAATGCCCCTCATGAAATAAGCCCATTAGCCGCTCCATTATTTTAAAAGAACTCAATTTTCTCATCTAGTTTTTCTGCTCCCCTATTTCATTTCTTTTTCTTCCTCCCATGTTCTGTTTCATTAGCCTTTGCCCCTTGCCTACTAAATTCTTAGCTGTATTCATCCCTTGTGCTTCTGTGTCTTCATGACCTCTGCTGTCTCTGGAAGTAATTTACATTCTTACAACATAAGAGATAGGGGCCAAAAGAGCAAAGGCATTAAAGAGATTTGTGTTGCCAGAGAACATTTGTTCTTCATCCCATTTCATATATGCGCCCCATCCCACCCGCACATACATACACACATGCACATGCTTAGAAAGTTAGGCTACAAACCCTTCTCGCAGTCAGAATTGATCAGCGCCACAGCACGCAGCGGGAAACAGAATGCCTTGTAAGTCGTGTTTCTCTTTAGTGTGGCTCACACCCTTCCTCGTTTCCTTCCTGCCTAGTCTTCCATCCAGTGGAGTGCTCCTACTGTCACAGCGAGAGCATGATGGGATTCCGCTACCGATGCCAGCAGTGCCACAACTACCAGCTCTGCCAGGACTGCTTCTGGAGGGGCCACGCCGGAGGTTCCCATAGCAACCAGCACCAAATGAAAGAGTATACGTCATGGGTAAGTGATGTGCGAGTATTGCCAAGAAAGAGCAAGAAAGCTGAGGGTGGAGCATCGATCAGGTTTCTCTGCTGTTGTGAAGACTGAACACAAAGCAACTCTTAGAGGATCCCCCAGGTCACAATTCGTCACCAAGGGATGTCAGGGCAGGAACTAACTCCCCGGTCACAATTCGTCATCAAGGGAGGTCGGGAACTTCAGTAGGAACCTAGAAGCAGGAACTGAATTTCTCTCGTGGCTTCCCTGTTTTCTTACAGCACACAGGGCCACCTCCACAGGATGGCATTCTCCACAGAGCGCTAGACCCTCCCACATACATCGTTAATGAAGAAAATGCCCCACACCTTTGGCAACAGGTTGTCTGATGGAGGCATTCTTGGTTGTGCTTCCCTCTTCCCTGGTGGCCTGACTTGTGTTAAGTTGTCAAACAAAACAAAATAACAAATAAACAAAAACAAACCAGGACAGATGATGATGAAATTTAGGGCAAACTTAACTTCTGTACCAAAATCCTTTCCCCTTCCCTGCCGTTCCTCATCCTACTGGAATCTCTCACTGTTTGTATCTGAGCCCAGTGCGGCTTTCTGAGACTTAAAATACTGGAAGAATCAAACTATGTTTCTTCTCGGGATATGGACAGGTCAATACTTACCTACTCAACAGAAAGGTGGGCACCTCTAGGTCAGTCCTATTTTACTGTACACTATGTGTTTTAGTAAATTCCACTTCATTTTGTTTCTATGCAAATTGGTAAAAAGAAAAAATACTTTATGTTTTTTTTTCCTAAGATCCCTAATTTCTTTCAAGTGTATGACTGGACAGGAGTATGAGAATGTGTGCTTTACAAAACTGGTGCCATTTTAATTTTTTTTCAGGGAATAGAGAAGGAAATTTTTGGTTTTTAAAATCTTCTTTTCATGTTGTGAGTGGTTATGTTGGTAAAAGTGGCCTGTGGTGTCCATGTGGCACTTGGTCTGTGGAATCAACTCTGCGTTCTTATTGTTTATATGGCTCACTGTTTTCTGATTTACCTCAATTAAAATCAAAGTCCCTGACTCCCACATCTACTGTTTTGTGCCTGATTGGTTGCTGTTGGCTGTGCCATCAATGAAGCCAATTGAACTGCCTAAAAGAGTTCAATCACAAGAATGCAAAGTTGAATGAGTTACTGCCTCTTTAAATGTATCGCATAGGCTTTGTGTAAGGGGTAATTTGCTAAATAATTTTATATCCACACTCATATTGTGTTTCTTCCTGAGGAGACGTGAATGAACATCTATCTACCCAAAGGGAGCTGGTCTGCCTCCCACTGCCCTTTCTAGAATGAGTTCTCTCTTCCTCCTCCCATCACGGTTGTTATTCCTCCCTTCTGGGATGACTCCCTTCCCCTGAGATTTTCTTAGAGGGTTCTGATTGTCTCATAAACCTCAACACATGTTTTCCCACACAAGGACGTTTTCCCTTCAGCAGGGACTTTGTAGCAAGGGCTGGGTAGCCTGATGGGTAGCAATCACTTCCTCTACCAAACTTCCTGACTCAGAGGACGGGCACTCAAATCAGAGTTCTCCAATAAATGAATCAATCAAGAAATGAATGGATGAATATTGCAACTATTGGCAAACATTTCAAATTCCTCAGATAAAATGTAAGAGAAAGGTTGTTTTCATTCTCTTTGTAGAAATCGCCTGCTAAGAAGCTAACGAATGCATTAAGCAAGTCCCTGAGCTGTGCTTCAAGCCGTGAACCTTTGCACCCCATGTTCCCAGATCAGCCTGAAAAGCCACTCAACTTGGCTCATATCGTGTGAGTATCTCTGATCACAGATTAAGATGTGTTTTCTTTCCCTCGCATGTGTCCGGGGCATTCCTACCAAGTCAAGCGCACGTCATTGGTCAGGGGCCAAGTTTCAGTTATTCCTCTTTCTTTTGGTTGGCATACCAAGAAATAAGGTTAACTTTTCACATATATACCATGAATCTTTGTTCCCATTCATCCCCATGGCCTTCCCCTATATCTCTTTCCCTTTCCTGCTGGTCCCTTTCACCCAAATAATTCCCCTTCTGTTTTCATTACACACACACAAGCTTTAATTTTTTTTAATATAAAAGCAATATAAAGCTGGCATAGGCCAAACACCCACAAAACCAATATAAAACCCACTCTATAGACTATGGCTAACTTACTTTTTACTTTTTTAAAATTAGTAAGCCTGGGGAACACTACCAAGGGGAATATCCCAAGGGACCAATGTCTTAAAGTGATGACCTGCTCAGGACCTTTGACGTAAAAGCCTGCTCTTGCCCTTGGCATCGCCAAGGAGACAAAACATCCAAGTTGCTCATGAAGGAGCACAAGGTAGAACGAGTCTGTGCTGTGTGAACTCTGCGGAGTCACACTTCCCACTAGCTGTTCCCACTTCCAAGCTGCTAGCCAGGGAGGCAGAGAGAGTGGCCAGGGCCTGGTGCCGAGAGCACTGCAGTATACAGAGTAGGGGGCTGCTTCAGAAAAGTGGGTCATGCTCTACAGACCCAGCCCAGGGCCTTGTGCAATCAGCACTTGGGATTGTGTGTGTGTGTGTGTGTGTGTGTACGTCTGTGTGTGCATGCATATGTGAATAAGTGTGTGTGTATGTGTATATATGCATTTGTGCATCTATATGTGTGTGGGTTTGTATGTTTATATGTGTATATGTGTGTATGTGCATGTGTATGTCTACATATGTATATTCATGTGTGTGTCTGTATGAATATATACATTATTTTAATGTGCTTTATAAAATACATAATTTAGTAGCAAGTTCTCTCATCACAAGCCTTATATTGAGCCCAATACAATGAAAATAAGACAATAAACACTTTAATAAATACCAAACACTAATATCTCCCTGCACACTTAAAGGTTTTAATATGTTATTCCAAAGTATGGCTTAAAACAAAAAGATCTAGGGCTGGAGAGAGGCTCGGCAGTTACTAGTACTGACTGCTCTTGCAGAGAGCCAAGTTTGACTCCCAGCACCCACCCAGTAGCTCACAACTATCTGTAACTAATTCTCATTTCAAGGGACTCAATTCCTACTTCTGGCTTTCCCGGCACCAGGCATGCATGTGGTGTACACACACACACACACACACACACACGTATACATATATGTAAACACTCATATACATAAAATAAAAATTCTTAATAAAATATCTTTTTAAAAAACAGAAAGATCTTGAACAAAGCATTATGGCCATCGTACAAAAACATAAATAATATGAATTTTTTAAAACATTTTTAAAGATTTATTTATTTATTTATTATGTATCCAGTGTTCTGCCTGTGTGTATGCTTGCACGCAGAAGAGAGCACCAGATCACAGTATAAATGGCTGTGAGCCACCATGTGCTTGCTGGGAATTAAACTCAGGACCTCTGCAAGAGCAGCCTGTGCTCTTAACCTCTGAGCCTATAGGCCAGGTCTCCAACCTGTTTTCGTTTGTTTGTTTGTTTGTTTTTCCTCTAGCAAAGACCATCCTGAAATAACTTACGAATTGTTTCATTAACTGTGATACAAACCACACTTTTTCATTGCTTTGACACATGTTCACATGCATCTGCCAGTATCTAACTATCCCAGTGCACCCCTGTGCACACAATAAACTCACAGACAGAGGCAGAGCAGTGGCAGCGAGTGGGGGCTGGGAGTTTTATTGGGCACATTGTGTCCTGCACTGAGTGCCCTAGAGGTTGGGCCATCAAGAATTGCAGCACAAACTCAAAACAAAACATTTGCTGCTTGGTTGTATGAAAATTATATGAATTTGTAAATTACTATCAGTTTAGGAAAAGATCACATAAACATGAGTGTTTATGAGGAGATAATTACGCATCCTCATGGGATATGGAATGTGTCTGTGGCAGGAAACGCATGCATTTGGAATGTCATAGTGTCCTCTTCAAGGCACACCTTGGTGTGTTTGTGTTAAAAATCTGATGTTCATGTCTAGAAGGTTTATCCAGTCATGAGCAGAGAAGTCAAAAAGTCAGTCTAAGTTCCATAAGTATAAACTAAGGCAAAAACTCATGGCTTGTGCTTAGTTATCATAACCAATTAATTAGAAAACACTTTAAGACTCCTTAAATCTCCTGCTATTAACTATGGAAAATGGAAACTATGACAGCAGTGAGACTGTGTAGCTAGATAAACATTTCTCAAGAAGGCTTAGATAAAGAGAGACTGGACCAACAGAACGTTAAAACAGCCCAGTGTGGTAATGCAGACCTTCAGTCTCGGCGTTCAGGAGACAGAGGCAGGTGGATCTCTGTGAATTCGAATCCAGCCTGGTCTACAGAGAGAGTGCCAGGCCAGCCAGGGATATACAGGGAGGCCCTGTCTCAAAAAACAATAATAGCAACAATAACAACAGCAAATCGGGTTGGGCAGCACTCACTAACTTTGCATAGAAATGAATTACGTGATAGAGAAAATGCTAGCACTATCAAGAGCCAGGGGACTTTACGCACGTGTAGCAAAGCGACACAGCCAGTCATGAGTTTGTTCTTCAACAGAAATGGGCAGGTGGTGGCATCTTGGCATTTCGGAATGTGTGCTTAACTATCGTATTGCTTGTAAATGTTGCCGTGATTAACAGTTTCTGCTCTGTTCCACTTCCTTGCTGCCAAAAAGTGATACTTGGTAAGTGATTAATGCCCCACACACTTACACAAACTGTCGCTCCTAGTAATAAGTAGTTATGAGATGGAAATCACGTGAGCTGTACACAGCTAGTTTAACTAACTAACCTAGCTTTGAACTGAGCCTTTGCTCTTAAGACAAGGATGTCAATGCTTGTTTTTTTTTATAAGTTCTCTGCTAAGATTTACGCAGCAAACAATCTTTGCATATTGCCTCTGAGACCCGTTGCTCATGGGGAGCAGTTTCACTTTTTTAAGAATAAATACATTAACAACTCCCGGGTGAGGCTTAGGCTGAAGAAGCAAACTTGCCATTTGGTGATGGGGAAAGGTGGGAACATTAGCCACTTTCAAAGCTGCCATTTTCTTCTCCAAGTTTAATGTATTGATTGGTGACCCTCAAACATGAAGCAATTTGCGAAGAAATCCCAGTTTTCGTTTTGCAGTGACCAGGTTCGCTAAAGAAATCTGGCTGAGTTAGTTAAAAAGCATTCTCGGTTCTTGTGTTTTCCATTTCCTAGCAAAGCTGGAAAGTTTTTTTTTTCTTTTGTAAAAAGAAAGCAAGAAATATTGGGTCAATTTCAATTTTTTACAAGGTTATAATGAATGTGTTTCGTCCCAGTTGCTGTGTTAAAACCTAATGTGCCTACCTTCCTGATTACAGAGGACACTGGGATGCAGTGACCATCCCCCTACTAAGCTAAGTTATCCACATTAAAGCACAGTTAGTTTTAGCGCCCTCGTGTTGCACCCATCGCGAAAATGCATCATAGGTAAATAACCCACAACTCGCAGACTGTTCTCTGCACCCTGGTTGGTAAGTCCAGAGCTGACAGTGAACCCGTCGTTCTGACCTCATCCAAAAATCTTGGAATGCAAATAAAACAGGATGGGATTTTATTTCGATATGTGTCCTTTCCGACCAGCTTATTAAAAAGGACCACCGTCATGAGGGCCCACAGAACTTTCAGAATTCTTGATCTGCTCAGAAACATGACTCCACAAGGCATCAAGACTCAAAGCCCGTGGGAAAAATATTCCCGTGGCCTACCATCGTCCTAGTGTTTCAGTCTCTGTGTGCCCAGGGAATTCTAGCTTTATACCATGAGAATAAAGCGGTTGGCATTCACAAGCTTTCCCATGGATCTTGGTCTAGAGACTACTCTGACTCCATCCTTCCCCTCCATGGATGGTGGGAAGTTTGAATTCATTACTTTGCCTTAACTTTTTCACCCACATTGTGTTTTGTTCCAGGCCTCCAAGACCTGTAACCAGCATGAACGACACACTTTTCTCCCACTCGGTTCCCTCCTCAGGAAGTCCGTTCATCACTAGGAGGTAAGTTCCCAATCCTGCCATGAAGTAACGATCCCTTTCTAAATAAGCTTGACACTATGGTGAAAAAAAAATATTCTACTGTATGAGAAATACATGCTGTTATTATCATTACTGGAAACAAGGTTGTAAATACCCATCACTTGTCCTCAATTTCCCTCACATGTACATATAGAGGCCTGGGTTGGCTCTTGAGGTTTATGTAACTTCCAAAAACCGGCATTATAGCCTCCCCCAAAGGAAGAATGTGGGGTAGGTATGCTTCAATTTTACTACTTATACGTATGCAGGGGTGTATTATTCTAGAGAGTCTAAACTGACTCGTGAGTTAAGACCCCAGGCATAAATGAATACCCTCTGGATGACCTCTTGAATTCCTAAGGCCAGGGCTAAAGACCAGACCTAGAATAGGTCCATAATAAGAACAGCATCCACATCAATAATCCTATGGATCGGGAACTTTTCAAAAATGTGGTTATGTGTCTTGTCGTTTTGCACAAAATCTTTTCCATGCGTTCAAGGAAGAGGTAACCTATGCGTCCCTCTGTTCCTTAGTAGTAGGAACGCCCAAGGCTCAAGAGGTGCTCTGGTTAATTCGGTGAGATACCAAGATCAGCACCAGGGAGTTATTTGGTAAATACATGGAAAGTCTCAAAGGAAAGCAAGAAGAAAGATAAGGAAAACGACGAAGTGATTGAGCATAATACCCCCATGGCCTTGCAAGATACCCACCCCCCTTTCCCCTGAGAGGATGAGTAGGCGCCAACTTCACTCCACAATGTTCTGGCACATTCTAGAGAAGGTTTCAGTGAAAATGACTTATTTTTCCTATGCATCTAATTTTTCCCATGTAGCCCTATATATGCCCATCAGCTGGAACCTGAGTTGAAAAAGTTCCCCTTTATTACAGTAAGCAGAACAAAGAGTTTCTACAGTGTTTTCAATATATAAATTAAATCTGCCCTAAGTACAAACAGTGAGACATTTATACCACAGAACATGTGCAGCAAAATAATGAGATTTAGGCATTCAGTAACTTCTTGTGACCGTCCTGTTTCATAACCATCCACACATAAAGCCACCTTTCCTACAAGAAAAATCATACAGTCAATAGGAGACACAGACCCGTGCATCTATCTAGTGAAGGCTCGATGTGATGCTTAGAAAGATACTGTGTGTTTCAGGAAGCTCTGCGTTCTGCAAATGCCACAGCAAGGCAGACCCCATCCTTACTGAAGGTCATTTTATATCATTTCAGCTCAGACGGCGCTTATGGTGGATGCGTCTAGATGGATAACATGGCTTCCTGTACCCTAAAATATTCCTAGAACACTTTGAGCTTTTCTGCTTCCTCTATTAGCCTAGAATCTGATTGCTTCCCTTTCTTCCCATGTTCAGTCCTTTTGCCTTGTTCGCTGTGAAGGACAGACTTGTATAAACATGTGGTTCTTATCACTGCAGAGACTGGACATCGGTTTTTGTTTTTAGGAGGCTGCTCAATAAAGCTGTGTACACTGAACACCCATCCTCTCTGAGTGGGCCTCACTCTGTCCATGGGAGGTTTCACTGTGGTCGCCCCTTAGGTCACTGAAGTCCCTTCAGCACCACAGCTGAGCGGAAACCCAGAAAGCTGTGTGCAAATCAGCTTAACCTTGGGGCATGATCAGTAGCCCCCATTCTGAGCCTTTAACAATAGCAGTCATTAAAAGGTTATTAGGAAGCTGATGTTTCTACCCCAGAATGAAAAACCTTAGTCTTCCAGTGGTGATGATGGTGGGTTTGCAACAGAAGGCTGAGCCAGTCTCTCAGGTCGCCCTCTTCCTTGTTATTTTATAGCTATGAAAGCTTTGGGCTAGTACGGGGTGTGTGCACACAAAACGTACCGAGTTGGACCACGTATAATTTGCAAAACCCTAGATGGTGATTTCTAAAACTCTTAAATTAAGGATCCTTGAAGAATGGTCAATCACTAAATGAATTAGGCAAGAACAAGGACTTCTGGCTAGACCTTAGGACAACAGAAGAGCCAAGGATTTAACAAGCTTTAAAATTCATCTATTCCACCTGAGCATTTTCAGGTCAAAGGAAAATAATCTGAATCCACTAAAGTGAGTGATTTTGGAACCAGTTTCTTACTGCTCTTGCTTCCTTTCTCCTACTTGATGATTCTGAGATTGACTGGCCTCTGCTTTCTTATACACAATACACAAAGGTTGGTGCAACTACATCATGCCAACAGCATAATTAAAGGTCCTCTTCCTTCTATAGCTTGAGGCAGACTACTAACACATATCTAGAGTTGTGTCCCCTCTTCACATTCCAATGGCCCTTGGCAGTGGCAGATAGTCTTAGGAAAACTTCCCCAGCTTTTTCTTTAGACTGAGCTGTCGGCTGATGTGTGACTTAGGAGTCTCAGGATCTGAGAACCAAGGCAGAGGGAGTAACTAAAATCACTACAGTAAGACTCTCACTACAAAGCCCTGGCATTGCCTCTCCACTCCTTTCAAAGTTGCCAGTTGGGTGTTCAAAAGGCACTGGGCTGTGCCTTTGAAGTCCCTTGGCATTTTAGTGATTTACCTCATACAGATTGGAGAGCTGGTCCCACCACCCTCTGTTGTACCCCTTGTTCTTACACTCTTTTCCTACTAGACATACGGCTCACCCTTCCATTGGCTAAAAGGAAGAGGGGATTGTTAAAGATGCTCACCAACAGTCCTGGGAAGTCTTCAGGCACAATATCTGTGTGTTGTATGAACAAGCCTATCATCAGTGCTAGTTAGCAATTAGGTCAGAAGCAGGTCAAACAACAAAGTTAAAGACCACTTCATTTCATTCATGATGTAGTGTTCCACAAGGTCAGCTTTCGCTTTTGGCATCATAACTTCTTTGTAAAACCTGAATTATCTGCCCAAATCCCTTCTTAGTGTGTAAACAAGAGTTATCTATTTCTTTCCCATGTTAAATAAGCTGCTTTAATTACAGCCCATTTTCTTCCCTAGCCATGATGCCACTTAAAGGTACAAATGGCTAATTTCTTTTACTTTCAGTATTAAGAGCATGGTTTAAGAATTTCACAAGTATTTTCATAGTTATAACTTCTAATGGAGCAAAATATTCACAAAAATAACCCCTTTGGCTCTTACATATTCATCTAGACAGATCTTACTCTTCTTTAAATATTAGAAAATTGCTTATATAAATTATGTAGTGTGCTGAATACAATCTAATATACTTTTTTTCCATTTTCCATTTCTTATTACTGACACTGCATGAAGCCCTTTAGTACCAAGAGAAGAACACCTATAGAGCCACCCGCTGTGTTAACACCCCAACCAGCTCCCAAGGCCTGACTCTTCCCAGTGGGACAGCCTTTATGTGACATTTCTCTTGCCTGACTTGGTCATTTGGTTTCCTGGCTTATGTTTCCAGTTCAAAGGGAAGAAACAAAAGACTAATTCCTTGTGTCTGTTTTCATTCTTTTCAAACAATTCACTCACCCAAAGATTCTTTACTTAATGGTCCAGCTTTTAACCTGACTTAACAGGATGAAACTATGTTAGTGGCATTTATGATTTGATCTTTCAAAGTGATGACAAAATTACCCTGGATTCATCCTTTGCTTCTGAAAGGCTCTCCCTTGGCTGATATCTAAGGATGGAACTCATCCACTTTCATTAGCAAAATCAGGCAAATTCACCAATCAATACCTGGCACTGCCTTGACAATTTTTTCAGGATCTTCACAATTCCTATGTATGCTACATGAAATTCTATAAATAAAATAACCACACTCCGTGGATAATTTTTATTTCAATTCATTTATAAGCTAAGATTTATAAGTCTTCAAAGTCTTGATTTCCATATAAACATGTTAGCACATAATTAAAAAGCTAGAACTAGCAGTCTTCAAACCAAGTTCTAACATCCATATAAATGTGTTAGCACATAATTAAAACCATGGTCATTCCACTGCATTGACCTTTCTTCTCCTTCTGGGACGCTTTAGTTATGTTTACACATGTTCTTTACATAAAAGACTTACTTTTCTGTAGACTCTCTCGACAAACACAAAGTTGATACAATTTGATGATAACTGATGTGAATAAGAAAAATTGACTTCATAACTCAGAACTATGCTGCCTTTTAAGACAGCTTGCTGTTTATGCCAGCCTGAATTGATGGTTACTTAATTTTTTAAAGATATATTTATTTTATATTTCATTCATGCATATGTGTATGTGCCTGTATGAGTTTATAAGCACCATGTGCCTGCAGATGCCCATGGAGGGAGGCAAAATGAGGGCATAAGATCCCCTAAAACTGTGATTACAGTCTATTGTGAGCTACTAGGTGGGTGCTGGGAACTAAATCCAACTTCTCGGCATGAGCAGCAAAAACTCTTAACTACTGAGCTTTCTGTACATCCCTAGCCCATTTTTATGAATAATTTTGATTTGCATATTTCCAGAGTTTTATATTTCTGTCTGAGCTGTTGAAATGTAGGAAAATAAAATAGAATGTTTCAAGAAACTTTCTTCACTAAAGTTATGAGAGGACTTTTATTCCTGAGTTTGTCAGCTTGAGGACCTCATCACTATTGAATAAATTAGCGAGAAGTAGTTTTTTACTCTTGAAATCTCTTGAAGAAGGAACCGACTTCACAAGCATTCTTCACAGTCCATCGGTTATTTAAGAATTCATAGAAACTGGATGTGTGTTTTTTTAAATCTACAATGATTAAAATGTTGTTTTCCTTTTAACCACTGTGATATTAAATATTCTACATTCAATAAGATCAAATACAATCCTTTGATACCATGTTAAATAAGAGAAAAACAAATTTTCTTGGTCAGGGTTTAATAAAATATTCCAACATAAACAAAATTGTTTCAAAACACAAATTTCAGGTTTCAGTAAAATCCAATGAGTATCTATGTAGAATTTCACCATAAGACACCCCCAAAAATTTTTTCATTAAAGTAAAAATCATGACATCAGTTGTCA